CTCTTTCTGCAATGGTCCCTGAGCCATGGGTGGGTGAGGTTCCATGTAGGAGTCCCATCCTACTCTCTGCAGTCTCTTATTCTCCAAAACTTGGCCAATTATGGCCTTCTGTGTGTAACAAACTCTGATAAACATGGAAGCCTCGCTGGTGAGAGTTGAGGGGTGCATTAGCCCTCTCTCTGCCTCTTATTCCACTATGTTCCATGAGTCTTAGTTGTAGATACTCAATAGCAGATGTGTCACCTAGTACTGGGCATCTCCCAGATGTGTGTTCTCTGTGCCTGACCAGATGTGCAACTCTGCAGTGGACTCCATCTCTTGCAAAAAGAAGCTTCTTTGATGAGTGCTGTATGGCATGCTTGTCACTCTAAGGGAGGTCTCTTCTATCTGACACTGTGTTCCCTGCCAAGGAACTCCCAGGTGTACATATGGATTAATGTTCAGACACTCTATGTGCATTTCTCATAAGGTTTCTAGGGCATCAATTTTCCTCCTAGGTTTGCTAGCCCCCACCCCCCTGCCCCCGGCCCTGGTGATTCACTCGTCTTTCATTCATCTCTACTTTCCCTCCCATCTGGCTTCCCTCCTCCCTCCCTCCCTAGTCACAGTGTCTCCATTATCCCTCCCTCCCATAATACCTCCTGACTCCCGCCATCCTCCTCTTCTGACTTCCCTCCCTCCCCCACACCATGGTCCCTTGCATGTCCTCCCTCTTCGCCTCCCTGCCGATTGCTCCCACTCTTTCCCCCTCCCTCAGGTAACATGTTCCCCACGATCCCCCTTTCAGGTTGTTTCTTGTTCTTTATCTCCATGTATCTTTTCCCTTTCCATGGCTCCTGCTGTTGCATCAGAATTTACGTACTCACGTGTGAAGGACTGGTGCTACAATCCACAAATGAGGGAGGGCATGCGTCGCTTGCTTTTCTGAGTTTATGTTACTTCACTTAGTATAACATTCTCTAGCTCCATCCATTTAACTGCAAATAATTTCATCTTGTTTTACTGCTGAGCAGAACTCCATTGAGTGGATTTACCACATTTTCATTAACTATTCATCAACTGAGGGACATTTAGGTTGTTTCCATTTCTTAGCTTTGTGAAGAGAGCAGCAACAAACATGGATGTACAGGTATCTCTCCAGTATGATGAGTCCTTTAGGTATATGCTAAGGAGAGGTATCGCTGGGTCATATGGTCGGTTTATTTTTTGTTTTTTGAGGGTCTCCACGTGGCTTTCCATAGTGGTTGCCCAAGACATTGCCACCAGTGAATGAGTGTTCCTCTTTCTCCACATCCTCTCCAGCATTTGAAGTCTTTCATTCTCTTGATCTTTGCCAATATGACTGGGGTAAGATCGAATCTTAAAGTGGTTTTTATCTGCATTTCTCTAATTACTAATGATTTTGAATACTTTTTCAGGTGCTTCTTTGCCATTTTTACTTTTTCCTTTGAGAATTCTGTTTAGGTCTACTGCCCATTTTTTTTTACTGGGTCACTTATTTTCTTCTTTCTTTCTTTTTTGAGTTCTTTGTATATTCTGGATATTAACCCTCTGTCAGATGTGTATCTGGTGAAGATTTTCTCCCACTCAGTGGGTTTCCTCTTCCCTTCCTTGGTTGTTTCTTTTGCTGTCCAGAAACTTTGTAATTTAATGAGGTCTCACTTACTGAATGTTGACCTTAGGGCCTGAGCAGCTGGTGTCTGATTTAGAAAGTCCTTTCCTGGGCCTATATCTTGGATAGTGCTGCCTATGTTTTCTTCTAGCAGTTTCTGAGTTTCAGGTTTCATATTGAGGTCTTTGATCCATTGGGAGTTGACTTTTGTACAGGGTGAAAGATAAGGGTCAAGTTTCATTCTTCTGCAGGTGGAGATCAAGTTTTGCCAACACTATTTGTTGAAGATGCTGTCTTTCCTCCATTGTGTGTTCTTAGCACCTTTGTCAAATATCAGGTGGCTGAAATTATATGAACTCGTGTTTAGGTCTTCTGTTGTGTTCTGTTGATCTATGTGTCTATTTTTGTGCCAGTACCATGCTGTTTTTATGACTTTAGCTTTGTAATATAATCTGAGATCTGGTATGGTGATGCCTCTAGCATTGTTCTTTTTGCCCAAGATTGTTTTGGCTATCTGGGGTCTTTTGTGATTCCATATGAGTTTTAGGATGATTTTGTCAAGCTCTGTGAAGAATGTCATGGGTATTTTGATTGGGATTGCATTGAATCTATAAATTGCTTTGGGTTAAGTTGGTCATTTTCACAATATTGATTCTACCAATCTATGAGCATGGTAAGTCTTTCCATCTCCTAGTGTCTTCCTTTATCTCTTTCTTTAGAGTTTTGAATTTTTCACTGTAGAGATCTTTATTATCTTTGGTTAGGTTTAGTCCTAAACTTTTTTGAGGCTATTGAGAATGGAAGGGTGTCCTCGAGTGCTTTTTCTGATTGCTTGTTATTGACATAAAGAAAGGCTACTGATTTTTGTAAGTTGATTTTGTATCCTGCCACTTTACCGAAAGTATTAATCAATTCTAACCCTTTTCTAGTGGAATTTTTGGGATCTCTTATGCATAATACCATCTGCAAATAGGGATAATTTGAGCTTTTCTTTTCCAATTGGCACTCCTTTAATTTCCTTCTTCTGTCTTATTGCTCTTGCAAAATTTTCAAGCACTATATTGAAAAGGAGTGGAGATAGTGGACAGCCCTGCTTGGTTCCGGATTTTAATGGAAATTCTTCCAGTTTTTCAGGACAAAAGTTTCAAGCACTATATTGAAAAGGAATGGAGATAGTAGACAGGTATATCTGGTTCCTGATTTTAATGTGAGTGCTTCCAGTTTTTCTCCGTTTAGGATGATGTTGGCTATGGGTTTGTTGTATATAGCTTTAATTATGTTGAAGCACGTTCCCTCCAGACCAATTCCCTCTAGGACTTTTAAAATGAATGCATGTTGGATTTTGTCAAATGGCTTTTCTGCATCTATTGAGATGACCATGTAGTTTTTGTCTTTAAGTCCATTTATATGTTTTATTACATTTATTGACCTATGAATGTTAAACCATCCCTACATCTCTGGAATAAAGCCAACTTGATTGTGGTGGATGATCTTTTTGATGTGTGTCTGTATGTAGTTTACAAGTATTTTGTTGAATATCTTTGCATCTATGTTCATTAAGGACATGGGTCTATAGCTTTCTTTTCTGTTGTATCTTTACCTGGTTTTGGTATTAGAGTGATGCTGGCTTCATAGAAGGAGTGTGGGATTACTTCTGTTTCTATCTTTTTGAATAATTTAAGCAGTATTGGTTGTAGATTTTCTTGGAATGTCTGGTAGAATTCCTCTGTGAATCCACCTGGGCCTGGGCTTTTTTTGGTCAGGAGGTTTTGTATTACTGTTTCAATTTCCTTATTTGTTATGGGTCTGTTTAGGCTGTTGATCTCCTCTTGGAGGTTTTCAAATTTAATGGAGTATAGATTTTTAAAGTATTCCTACAATATTTTGGATTTTTTAGAGTCTGTTGTGATGTTTCCCTTTTGCCTCTGATTTTGTTGATTTGGATTTGGTCTTTCTTTTTTTGGTTAACTGGGCTAATGGTCTGTCTATATTGTTTAACCTTTCAAAGAACCAGCTTTTAGATTCATTGATTTTTTTGTATTGTTTTATTTGTTTCTATTTCATTAATTTCTGCTCTGAGTTTTGTTATTTCTTCTCATCTACTAGGTTTGGGGTTGGTTTGTTCTTGCCTTTCCAGAATCTTGAGTTGTACTGTCAAGTTGTTTACATGTGTTCTTTCTGTTTTTTTTTTTTTAATGTAGGCACAAAGCTATAAGCTTCCCACTTAGGACTGCTTTTAGGGTGTCCCAGAGGTTTTGTTGTGTTATGTTCTTGTTTTCATTTTGTTCCAGGAATACTTTTATTTCTTTCTTAACTTCTTCTTTGACGCATTCATGATTCAGGAGTGTGTTGTTTAATCTCCATGATTTCATGTATTTACTAGAGCTTTTTTTGCTGTTGATTATAAGCTTTCTTGCACTGTGGTCTGATAGAAGGCATGGAATTATCTCAATTTTTTGTATTTGTTAAGATTTGTTTTGTGCCCCAGAATGTGGTCAATTTTAGAATAACTTGCGTGAGCTGTTGAGTAGAAAGTGTATTCTTTTGTGGTTGGGTGGAATATTCTGTATATATATCTTAGGTCCATTTCATGTAGTATGACATTTAATTCGGATGTCTCTCTGTTTATTCTTTGTCCAGTTGACCTATTGAAAAAAATTTGGGTCTTAAAGTCACCCACTATCACTAAGTTGGTGTCAATCTCTGTTTTATAGTCCTGGACTACTGATTTTATGAAATTGGGTGCTCCAGAGTTTGTTGCATAAATGTTCATGATTATAATATCTTCTTGGTCAATTGTTCCTTTGATTAGCATGAAGTACCCCTCCTTATCTCTTCTGATGAGTTTTAATTTGAAGTCTATTTTGTCAGAAATTAAAATTGCAACACCTGCCTGCTTCTTAGGGCCATTTGCTTGTAATATTTTTTTTCCATCCTTTCATCCTAAGGTGGTGTCTATCCTTGAACGTGACTTGACTTTCTTGAAGACAACAAAAAGATAGGTTTTCTTTCTTGATCCATTGCACCTGCCTGTGTCTTTTGACAGGGGAGATGAGGTCATTGATATTTAGTGTTATTATTGAAAGGTGTATATTGTATTCTGTCATTTAAGCTTCCTTAAATTAAGAAATTATATACCTATAGAGATTCAAGAAGCATGGAGAACACCATTAAGACCTGATCAGAACAGAAAGTCCCCAGGGCATATCATACTAAAAACATTAAATATACAGAACAAAGAGAGGGTACTGAAAGCTGCTAGAGAAAAACAAGTTACATGTAAAGGAAAACCCATGACAATTACAGCTGACTTTTCAGTGTAAACTATGAAAGCCAGAATAGCCTGGAACAAAGTATTCCCAGTTCTAAACAACCATGGGTGCCAACCCTGAATGCTTTATCCAGCAAAACTATCTATCAGGTCAAAGGGGAACAGAAAATTTTTCCATGACATAAATAGGCTGAAAGAATTCATATCTTCCAAACCAGCACTACAGAGAATACTTGAAGCAATACAAAGGACTGAAGAAAGAAATGATTATGCCCAAGAGGCTACGGAAAGAAAATAAAGAACGGTATAACAATGGAAACACAAAATCGGCCACAAACACAAAGAAATTAAAATGACAGTGAGCATTTTCTTGATTCATTTCAGAAAATCTCTCAGGAACTGACTCCAGTGGCCACTGAGAAATATTTGGGAGGATCAGACTGCCATGCCAGTAAGAAAGACTTATTTATAGACTTGATGGGAGATGTGTTGTTTGCTGTTCCATCTGTGATTGTGGCCAGCTATCACAGAGGTGAGTACTAGGATGAACAAAAGAGATACTGACTCCCAGTATAGACAAATGTGGAAACTGCTGAGGGTCAGACTTCAAAGACTGACTCCATATGGACCAGAGAGTGGGAGGTAGGATGCTGTCCTACACTGTTTCTTCATTGTTTCTGCTGGTAGGAGTCTCTGAGTGCAGACACAGTTATTTTGCAAGTATTTTGAATTTTATCCCATTAAACACCAGTAAGGTAATAAGGACATGACATTGGAAAGGGACCAATCAGTGGCACATTACCAAGCATGTATCTGCTGTGAAGGGTGGAAACTGAGTTCTTAGAAACATGCAGAAGACCTAGCTTATGCTCATCCCATCCCCTCTTTGCAGGAGCTGGGTATTACCCATCAGTACTTACTTGCCATTGCTTGAAAGCTGTTCAGTTGAGTTAATTCCTTGGTACCTTGATCTGCTGCAAGGCAAATTCAGTCAAGGAGGTGCTGGAGGCAAAAGATAGGCTGACCTGCCTATAAGCAAGGGGCATGTGTGAGGCTCCAGCAGCATCTGCTACAGGGGCAACTTATCTAAAGTTACTATGTTATATAAAGTACAGACATTGAATAATTTATCGTGTAAGGTTTAGCAGAGTCTCCAGAGAGATTGAACCACAGGAGACAGATAACAGTCGGTAGACAGACAGTTGAGAGTGGATTTACTGGAGGAAACTGCTATGGGATTATTACGACTGAGAAGTGTGGGGTCAGACCAGGACCTCTGTAACTGGAGACCTTGGGATGCTGGTAGAGTGACCCCAAGAGTGAAGGCCCCAGGGAAGCCAATGGTATAATTCTCAATCAATCTGATGTAGAAGAATAGCGGTCCTTGAGGGCCACTGGTCCTGAGGTCCAAATGTGGAAAACCCTGAAGTTCTGATGCCCAAAGCAGGAGAAGATGAAAAAGAGAGGAAGTCGCCTTCTCTCTGCCTTTTCTTCTCCATGGTGCCCACAGTCAGATGGTGCCTCCTACACTGAGGGTGGACCTTCCTTTCTTAGTCCACCAGTTCATATGCCAGTATTCCCTGGAAACACTCTGATATACACCCAGAAATGATGCTTTACCATTTTCTAGATACTCCTTAATCCAGTCAAATTGATAACTAAAACTAACATTCAAAGAAAGTTTTCAAGGTCAGTTTTCAAGGTCACTTTGGGGTAGTTTGTTAATAGTAGTATGGCTGTAGGAAGAGTAAAAGAGAATTACAGTATCAAAGGCTGCCCAGGACCGGAAAGCCCAGATGCAGGGTGGTAGGAGGTACGTGAGAAGAAAGTCTGGAGATCAATGTCCACGCCTGGCTTTCATTTAACTCAGTGCACACTGGTGTAGGCAAGCTGAGGACCTAAGTTGGTACTCCATGGGACTCTTCAACATTGTCACAAGGCTGTGAAGATAAGGTATGATGTTAGCGATGCATGAGCCCACAGAAGGGGGAAGTGTCCCCTTATGGATGCCGTTTTGTAGGCTCACAGGACCCTTCTTTTGCCACTAGTTGATTAGCCAGGTCTCAAGGCATAGGCCAGGAAATGTTTCTCTGATCCAGACTTCTCTCTCTAATGACACTGGAAAGATTATTAAATTTAGCACTTTATAAGCATGATTAAAACTAGCTGCAGTGGGGCTGGAGAGATGACTCCATGGTTAAGAAGACTGACTCTTCTTGCAGAAGACCTGGGTTCAAATCCCAGCACCTACATGGCAGCTAATAACTGTCCCTAAGTCCAGTTTCAGGGTATCCAACAGTCTCTTCTGTCCTCTGCAGGCATTACACAACATGGGTGCATTTACATACATGCAGGCAATACATGCATAAACATAAAGTAAAAATAAATTAATTGTAAAAAGCCTAGCTGCAGTTTGTGCCCTCATACCTCTCAGTACAGTAATGCATGGGTGCTAATTTCTACTTCTACCTCCCAAGGGCCTGATGAAAGCCTTTAGCCAGGGCCATCCAGGGTCTAGTTTATCCTCCCATAAACTCACTGTTGCCCCCTCCATGTCTTGTGATCCTGACTACACTGGACTTGAGTTTTTCATCTGATATTTTATGCCTTTGAGTTCAGGGTCTTTTGGCCAGCATGACACAGGTTTTATCAACTTCTTTTTTACTGTGTCACTCTTCTTGATAAATAACATTTCTAGTTATAAAACACATGAAGAAGGTCCTAGATGCCATTCAGAAGTCTTCAGTCCAGAGTCATCTGCTATAATTTTACCTGTATTATCATCTAATTTTTCTTTGTCTTTCTTAAATATAATTTAAAATTTAATTTTAATTTTGTGCAAAGAACACTATATAGTGGGAATTTCCTTAATTCCAAGAAAAATCTATAAAAATGCTCATCATTCCATGGAGAAAGTCCATCCTTCCTAGCCTGTTGGATAGCTAGGCTGGAGGCTCATATTTTAATGGTACAGATGATATTATGATGAACCTTAATAATAAATGTTTAACCACATCTCTAGCAATTTTCTTAAGACTGATTTTAGAAATGAAGTTACTATTCTAGATCACAAGGATAACTTAAAGCTCTTAAAACATGTTGACAATTGCTTTCCAATATATAAGAATATTTCTTAACTCCCATTACTAATTGAAATACCAAGATATCAACTCCATAGTCTTTCCCTATCAGAAAATAGAGATTAGAAAGACCATCACACTGTTCTAACTTATATTTTTATTCTCTCTCTGTCTCTGTCTCTCTCCCTCTGTCTCTCTGTCTCTCTCTCTCTCTCTCTCCCCCGCCCCGTTATGTTTTCCTGATTTTCATTATTTAAATCTTTACCCTACTTTGCATTGACGACTAGTTTTATGATTGTACAAAATTTAGAGACCTCAGTGGTCTTGGGCAAAAAGACTAAAAAAATTTTTCTCATTCCTATAAGGTCTCTCCTTGATGGCTGGGTTCTCAGATACAGCCTAAAACATTTCATGGTAGATGCTAGGTTGCCTTTCCTTCAGCAAGTTCTGCTTGACTTTGAAGTGCTGCTTAAGAAGTGGATCACAGAGTCATAGAAGGACACTATTCAAAACAGCGTTTCCTGCCAAACCATTTCAGTGATGGAAGCTGAGGGGGCAATTCAGTAAACCATTCCATATCTTCACCCTGAAGTAACATAACTTGTATATCCATTTGTAGATGAATATTTAATGAGGTGAAAAAATGATTACAGTGTGGTCTAAAATGGCATATGTAATATCATATATATGAGAATATTGTCATATATATGAATGAGAATATGTGCTAAAATATCAAAGGTTGTCCCTTGAGGGCAGACTTATGAGCATAGGCCCTCCCCCATATTTTACAAGTTTCTTACTAAATCCAAGCACAGAAAAAGTCTCATATTTATCCACCAGCCTGATTTGGAGCCTGATCCTTCCTCTCCCAGTGTCACTACTCTGGGCATATAATGCCATGCCATGCTATGACCACTGGCACTGAGGTCCCAGGACTAGGGGTCTCCAGGCTTAGGGTCCATGAGGTAGTGCATAAGCAACAGGGATTGGTTGCTTCAATCTCCCAATGAACAGGAAAATTGGCCTCTTGAAGCTTTATTCAGGACATCTTTGTTGGGAAGAAAGGAAGTCAGAGGAGAAGAGGTGAGAGGTAAATTCACCTTCCCCTGGTAATTTGTGGCTTTAACACTCCCAGGACAAGCAGGAAGCAGGATTTGTCAGGTGACTAAAATATGAATCCTGAGTTTTGTGGTTTTTGAAAAGATGAGACAGGTGACTCCATCTCTGCACAGATTTGCATTTAAATATCTTCACTTTCAGACAAGCATCTTGGATTTGCCTCACTCTTCTGAATAGTTGAGGAAAGCTCTGCAGATGCTCAAAACCAGGCTGACAAGACCTATTAGAAAGCCGATCTGCTCAGAATGAATGAGCACCATGTGTCATCACGAAACACATGCAGTGCTCTCAGCGTGCACTGCATCCTCTCATTCTTTATTCAGGGAACACCTAGTTCAAATCCTACTTCCACCTCAACCAGCTGTACAACCCCCAGCTTGTTACCTGGATTTCCTGAAACACTGTTTCCTTCCATGTGGGGAGTCATGGTTTTCCTGCACAGGTAGAGGCCTTGATATCATCCAGGTGTGTGTCTGGTAACATATACTGAGCATGAACACATATCTTCTCAGATGCTGGAGCCCCCACCTACATGTATGAATTTAAGTATCGTCCAAGCTTCGTATCAGACATGAGACCTAAGACAGTGGTAGCAGACCATCGTGATGAAGTTTACTCTGTTTGGGGAACACCATTTTTAAAAGGTAATGACTCTTCATTGGTAAGGATCTTAAAATTAGGAGACCTGGCTTCCAGTTTTAGTTTGGTAGTTTAAGCAATTTTTCCTCTCCGAATCTTAGTTATTGTACATGTTACTGCAGCAAAATACCTGACCAGAATGATTCGAGGAAAAAGGGGGCTCTTCATGCTTGTGATTCCAAAGGGACGTTGTCCATCACGACATGGAAGGCATTGTGGCAGGAGGATGCTGGTCACATTGTATTGGCAGCTCATAACAGAGAGGACAGGAAGTGGTCTCAGGCTGTAAATCTCAAGGCCCGCCCTCAGTGATTTACTCCCTCCATCAAGTCTCTACCTCCTTAATGTTCCACAACTTTCCCAAAAAGTGCCACCAGTTGGCGACCAAGTGTCTAAGCACGTGTGCCTATTGGGGGCATTTCACATTCAGAATACAAGGACAGAGCTATATTAAGCAGTCCCCAACTTTTCTCCTGCTCTAACAGGCAGGTCCCTAGGCAAAACAGACATGCTCAGAATCCTGACCTGAGACATCAGTATGACAGGTAATGTATCACCTACAGAACTATGCTTCAGGGAAGAATGCTGTAGCTTAATTTTTCAATCTCCGGAATCTACCAGAATATGAACAAAGGTGTTTAGAACTGATGTTAGCCTTGGACAGGATCTAACGTGTGTCTTTATGTATCTCCGCCTATAGATCTAAATTCTATCTAATTCTATCTAAATTCTACATGTTTTAAATTTTATTATGCTTAATAACATAATATTTAAAGAAAGCTTTTCACAGACATCTTCAGTTTTTTAATTCCCAGCAGTTATATGTGACCTGTGACCCACATCATGACTATTCATGGCACACTGGTATCTCTGGGTGTCTCCCAGTTGGATGACCTCTTAGGACCTTTCTAGTTCTAGCGCTTTTCAGAATCTAGGAAAATAAAAGAGTGGGAAAGGATCCAGAGGTCAGAAACCTATGCTGTGAGGCAAAGGAAACTCTAGGGTGTGACTTTGCAATCTTGTATAGGGAGGGAGGGCCTGTCATGGGAAACAAAGGTGGCAAGCTCATAGATGGACTGAGTTGCCTACTGATGAGTCCTAGATTAGTCCTTTCCAAGCTGAGATTGAACAATGAGCCCGGATCTTCTACAAATGCAGACTCTGACTTCGCAGATCTATGGTAAAGGTCTATTTCTAAAAGCTACCAAACAATTCTAACAAAGCCCGTGAACCACAGCATGAACAGGAAAGGGTTCTTCTCTTCTCCACAGATGGTGCCTCAGAAGAGGAGATCAACCTCAGCAGGATGCTGATGAAGTTCTGGGGCAACTTTGCTCACAAAGGGTGAGGTTGATAGCAGGGTAGAGTAGGATTGGTGGGAGAGGTAGGGTGCGGGAGGATGCACATTGTGAAGAGGTCATTTCTAACATTTGAGTGGCCAGAGCACTGAACTGTGACCACAGTGCTCTGACAATGAGAACCCTCTGAAATGAGCAGACTGCCCCAGGAAATACAGAGCTCACTTCTCCAGAGCTGTATGAACACTTGGTAAAGATATACTGAGTAATCTCTACAATTCTCAGAGAATTGCAAGGACCACACAGGAGCTTTGAGTAATTCTGTTTGATTCTTTTCCCCAGAGACCCCAACGGGAGCGGCTGCCCCATTGGCCAGAGTATGACCAGATGGAAGGATACCTACAGATTGGTGCCATCACTCAGTCAGCCCAGAAACTGAAAGACAAAGAAGTGGCTTTCTGGACCAAACTCCGAGCAATGGAAGTGGTAGAGAAACCAACCAATGGAGACACTGAGAAATGAGCAAGAGGCACCCAGCCTTGGAAATCTCTAGCAGCCAAGGCAGGGCTATTCCATAGAAGGTGTTTAGACCAAAGAAGTTTCTCATTGCAGATGCTAGACTCTGTGTGATAGGATTTGGCAGAGGCCAGGGAGGAGAAAGGTTTGGAACTTGAAATCTCAATGTGTGAAATAAATGAAATGTTCTTTGGGGATCAAATCAGTTGTCTGTGTCTTGAACTGGCAAACCCATCTTCCTCAGAGAAGCATGAAGAGAGGGATCACATTCACTAGAGAGACTTCACCCTATGGGAATAGCTTGGGCTATATACATGCTGATTCCCAGAATGCTGCGAGGTGCTAATGGGGACCCTGGACCTGTTCACATCTCTGGCCTCCAACAACTTTGAACAATGGTACCTGGGAGGCTGAGGTGACACAGGTCAATAATGCACCCAGAAGTGTTAGGGGAAGGTCTCCAGTTTCTTCTGGTCTTGACCCTAGCAGCAATCAGGGTATAAAAATAGCTCAAGCAGTCAAGAGTTTACTTACAAGAAAGGAAGCAAGAATATACTCATTAGAAAAATGAGCCAAAGTGAGAAGCAGTGACCCAATTCTGGAAGACGTGGATTTCTACCTCTCCTTTCTCTGGTAACCCTCCTTGTGTTTCCTCCAGGGTTCCAGGGTGGGCACTTCTGGTAAAGAGGTGTATTCTTCTTGGAAGCCAATTTTACCCAGAATTCAGCCTGTTATAAGTACATGTATAAAATGTAAGACTATGTTTAGGAACTTAAGGTCACTAGGGGAAGGAGTAACAATACTCTGCATATGGTCCCCTAGTGAGGAAGTCTCTGAAGCTAATTTGGTGTGGTCCATCTAGAGACCATTAACATCTATAGTTCTTTACAATCTGATTTTTGGGGGCCTTGAGCTGGTCCATCTGGAGAAACTACTACCACTCTTTATATCTTGACCACAAGTTGACCACCACCATTATCTCTTTATAACTTGGTTCAGAGTCTTGAGAAAGCCCACTTGTTATTCTTTATATACTACTTTTGAGGACCTATTGGTCAGTGCCTCCTGGAACTAACCTCCTGCCTAAGAAAAGGAAGATTGAAGGGTACTAGTGAGCCTGTGACACTTCTGCCACAGTCCCTTGGTCCCTTCTTGAGCACAGCCCATGAGACTATTTCTTCTAAAAACTGTTTTGGGAGGATGAAGAGACGGCTCAGCGGTTAAGAGCACTGACTGCTCTTGCAGAGGACCCGGGTTCGAGTCCCAGCACCCACATGGCAGCTACGAACAGTCCTTAACTCCAGTTCCAGGGGAATCCGAAGCCCTCTTCTGACCTCCGCGGCATTGCACGACACGGGTGCACTCACATACACGCAGGCAATACACTCATACACATAAAATAAAAAAATAAAAACTGTTCTGTGTCATACTTTTCCCTTCTCTCAGGTCTTCCTTGCCCCCCACCCTTCCTCCCCCTTCTGTTCTCTTGGTTCTTGCTGTTACTTTAGGATATATATTCACATCTAAAGATTCAGAGCTAGGATCCACAAATGAGGAAGAGCACGTACTTTTTATTTTTCTGAGTCTGGGTTACCACACTCAGTGTAAGTTTCCAGTTCCATCCATTAACCTGCAAGTGTGTATAACACTTTTCATTATCCATTAATCAGTCAAGGGGCATTTTGGTTGTTTTCATTTCCAAGCTATTATGAAAAGAGCAGCAACAAATATGTCTGACAAGTATCTCTGTAGTAGGATATCTAATCCTTTGAGTATGTACCAAGGTGAGGTATAGCTGGATCGGGTGGTAGATCAGTTTTAGTCTTTAGAGAGTTCTCCATACTGATTTCTAGTGGCTACACCAGTTTGCAATCTCACCAGCAGAGAATGAGGGTTTCTTTTCCCCCATATCCTCGCCAGTATCTGTTACCTGCTTTCTTGATCTTAGCCACTCTGAATGGGGTCAGATGAAATCTTAAAGTAGTTTTAAGTTGCATTCCCCTAACTGCTAAGGATCTTGAATATTTTTAAAGATATTTCTTAACCATTTTTATTTCTTCTTTTGAGCATTCTCTGTTCAGGTAGCTCTTTTTTTTTTTTTTTTTTTAAACTGGGTCATTTGTTTTCTTGAGTTTTGTTTTGTTTAGTTCTTTGTATATTCTGGGTATTAAACCTTTATTAGATGCATAGCTGTCAAAGAGTATTTTCACTCTGTGGGGTTCCTCTTTACTTGATTAATTGTTTCCTTAGCTATACAGAAGCCTTTTAGCTTAATGTAGTCCCATCAATTGTCAATTATCAATTTCTGGCCTTAATTCCTAAGCAAATAAAATCTGATTTATGAAGTCCTTTCCTGAACCTCTTTCTTGTTACAGGGCTAGAGAAGAAAAAAGAAGAAATTAATGCTAAGGTTGTATGACCTCCTGACAGACACACAAAATGGAGAGAGCTGTGCTTCATGGTGTTCTTGGCTTATATATCCTTAGCCCCCCCCCACCCATGGGGGTCTATAGTCAAATACGTTTGTGATGATTGAAACAAGGGAGTGAATCTTAGCTGGAGAAGAAGGCATTTGTCCACTGCTTGCCAGTCCAGCTTGCCAGGCAGAGGACAAGTCCATACAACAACCTTGCTCTCAGCACTATGTTCAGGCTGCCTTTAGAATGAACTCTTAAGCTCTGCTTGCAACATTCAACTACTTTTCTAGTCCAGTCTTCCAAAGTCTTCCACATTCCTCCAGAATCAACATGGCCAGGCTCTTCACAGCAATGACCCACTCTGATACCAACCTCTGCATTAATTATTTTTCTGTCGCTGTAATAAAACACCACCAGTGAGGAAACTTACAGAAGCAAGAGCTAATCTGGGCTTATAGTTCAGAAAGAGAATGGCAGGGAAAGTGTGGTGACAGGAGGCAGCTGGAGCAGAGAGCTGAAAGCTCACATCTCCAAGGGCAAATAGGAAGCAGAGAGAGAAACCAGAAGTAGGGCAAGGCTATGAATGCTAAGAGCCAGTCCCCAGTGACATGCCTCTTCCAGCAAGGCCGCTCCTCCTAAACTTCTGCAAACAGCACCATCAACTGGTGTTAAGTATTCAAATGACTCTATGGGGGGAAGGGGGAGGGGGAGGGGCATTTCTCATTTAAACTCCTACAACATTTAATAGAAAGAATATGTGAATGCTACAGATAGAAGAGATACATAGAATAGTGTGTGGGGGAAGAGGCACAGCATTTCTATGGCCTCTGTGGGTGCCATACATCCCAGGAATTATATAATCCCAGGAACTTGAATGAGGTCAGTTATCTCAATGTTCTTCAAACCCTTTTCTTTTGGGATTTGGGGAGGCATCTTTGTGTAATTATGAATGCTTAAATCACTGCCCATCAGTGATTAACTCAACCTTTAGTCACTCTCCCCACCCCCAGGAGGCTGGGGCATGAATCCCTAAATCCTGTCTTTGTCTTTCTAGTGATTAACCCCCATTCTGAAGCTATCTAAAGGATGCCAGAAATTATCAAGTGATTAACATACAAAATCATCATGCTAACGATTCTAGGGAATTTAAGAATAAAAGCTACCATATTATACCAGAACTACCATATCATAGAACCATAGGTCCAGGGGAGAGTTGACACCATTAGACTCCTCTCCATGAACTGCTCTCAGGTGGCTAATGAGAAATATTTGACTAAGGAAGACTGTAGGAACTGCCTCCAGGCTTGAAGCCCTGCTTGGATCTTTCTCCCTTTAAAGAAGAAAACCTTACAGCCATCCCATAGAGAGCAGCAAGCCTTGTCTCCCTCAGGACCATTATAAAGATCTGCTGAGGCTAAGAAAAGGGAAATTTAACAAGTCTATAACAGTGTGAGACAGGAAACCATCCTCGGGCAAGGCCATTAGAGATCTTTTATGGTTGAGAGCAAGATCCTTAGGAGGGCCTGTCTCCAAGGCTAGGGAATACTGGTCCCTGTAAAGTTGACATTAAGGTAGACAAGAGAAACCACTTCTGAGTGCTACCACTGGGTTAACAAATGCTATGAAGGGAAGGTTCACAGGACAGGCCTGAAGCTAAGGGTAGAGCAAGACATTAGGAAAACCCTTCAGGCTGGGTGTCGTGGCACACACTTTTATACTCAGACCTGGGGAGGGAGGGATGCAGAGGCAAGTGGATCTCCAATAAGATCAGGGTCAATCTGGGGTGGTCTACATATAGAGTTCCTGGTCAGCTGAGGATACAGTGAGATCCTGTCTCAAAAAAAGAAAGAAAAAGAAAAGCCTTCAGAAACCAATCCTTATACAAGCACACTAAAACAGAGCACAGGGTAAAACCAGAAAATTTGAATTGGGTATGTGCACTGAAGACCCCCAAGGAAATAATGCACACACACACACACACACACACACACACACATCAGTTGAGCAGCAAGCATGCCCATTTCCACCCAAACACTAAAATATGATGCTGAGCTGTTCTTTTAAACTCACAGGTGGAAAGAAATATATGCAGGAGAAGCAGAACACATTACTCTTCTTCCTGAAACTATGTGCAGATTCTGCATTATGCTCCTCACATTAAAGTCTCCTCACAGCAACAGATGTCTTTGACTGCCAGTGTCTCCTAGGAATAAGTCACCAGCAGTTGTCCAATGACTTCACTGGAGAACAACTGACACAACACGGAAAAAGTACATATTCAAATGCAGTTGCTGAATGACGCAAACCCACCACACAACGAATTAAACACAACTTTGAAAGTGGAATTGCAAGTATTTTTTAGCGATTAAAATAAAATGTCCATTTAAAAATAGTAAGAGTGCTTTCAGAGCAAGTGCGATGCCCAGGGCTTGGTCACCAGTGTTAAAAATAAAAATAATAGCAATAAGTAATAGGAAAGCAGTAGCCTGACCCACTTGGTCCATATGTCTGTTGTACCAAGCTTCTGTCATAATGACCTTAC